GCTGTTGTGTCAATGATTGGACAGTTTTACAGTAATTTAAAATGAACCATCTACAAGCTGTCTGCCTGATCTCCTCTGAGTTACTTACAGCTGTGCAGTCTGGTTATGTTGCTTTTTTTACCTGAAAGACCAAAAGAGAAAAATACAAAAGTGTATTCTGTCTTATAGTTCCAAAAACACCTTGTTTCTTCTGTATTAATTGGTTGTTTTGGTCAAAAGGGAACAGTCTGTGTCGTTTACTGTTGTCCCTACTGCCATGACACCATATTACTGCTGTATTATTCCTGAGGCATGAAGGTGCATATGAATTCCATCTGTGTTTTATGAATGTGAGTATAAACGTGATGTCTGTTTCAGCTGTTGTAATTTATAACACTTTACAATGTTTGCCTCACTCTACTTTGGATTTTCTAATAAAGGGAAAAATGAAGCAAACCGTGTAGTCTTACATATACTCAGCATTATACATCACAAAATACGATCTTTTATACAGGGTTACATTCATTTACATTTGGATTTTGTAAAATCAAATTTATGAACTGAATTTTATTTCTTTAACAGTAGATCAAATATAGTTGTAAAATCATTGAAAAATATATTTTGTGTGTGTGAGGTCAACAGCCAACAATGGGCAGTGGTTCAGGAGCGTCTAAAGTGTACTGACAGTAAAAATAACATTAATCATTTAACACTAATGAAACAAATTACTCTTGCAGTTGAGATTTTTATCACTTTCTGCTAATAGCTTGGTACTTGTTAGTTAGGTGTGATGTTAGTAAATGGATTCATTAATTTAAAATACACTTTAACAATGAATCTATAATCTAATTAAACTGGAGGAAAATTACAGGTTCCATATCCAGAATTTACCAAACCACAACTTAATGGTTTTTACCACAAATATAAAATATCACAATTATTAGAATAAACAGTATAGCACCTTATTTTCCCTGTGTACAAAAGTTTGAAATTTATTACAGAAGTAATACAAACTTCACAGCCGTCATTTATGTTTACACTGTATGCGACATTTTAAAGTTACACTTAATTCAAATTACGCAGCAGACATGGAAACATGAAAAAACAACACGAACAGTGCATGATTTGTTAACTATTTTAAAGAATGCATCCACAACTGATGCGGCTTGTTCTTTAAACAATCCACATCAACAGTTCCAACAGTTGAAGGCTTTGTTTTTGTTTGCTAGGTCCTGAGACGACGAGGATCTCTGGCAGCAGAACTGGTGGGCTCCGTCTAAAGAGTCTCCTTCACCTCGGTGAGTTCCTCTATTCGCACCAACACGCTCTCGATCATGTCAAACGTGTGCAGGGCTGAGTGCAGAGCCTGAAAGGACACATTCACATTCAACCAGGTGCTGCTCTTCGTCACACTCAAGTGCTACTGGATTGTCACATGAAATCAAACTATGAAACAGTCGCTGACCTGAATCTGCGACTCCGATGTCATGTTCGGCAGCTTCTCGTCACCAACCGACACGGAAAGCACAGACTCCTCTGTGGAAAACACATTCACGCTGTCAGAACGCTATTGTACCTGTAAAACTAATTATCAGAAGGTTTTTATTTTTATTTATCACAACAAATACATGAGAATGAAACCAGATTTATTACCAAATATGTGGCATTCATATTTTTCTCCTGCTTATGTTTTTGTGCAAATTCTCACATTTTTTAAATACTTTTATGGACTTTTCCCAGTCGTCTGTAGGAACGCCAAAAAGGTTTTCTATCTTTGCAGAAAAGTTAGTGAGAGCTTTGAGAAAGGTGGAGGTGAAATAGACCTGAGGGTCAGGGCTAAAAGCAGCGTTGGCGCTGACCTTTGGTCTTGCTCCTCTTGGTCTCCATGGTGTTGTGGAGCTCCCTCTCGTAGTGAGCTCTCGACATGTTTACTCCAACACGTAGCGGCTTTATGAACGCATCTTCTATTTTATACAACTCAGTCCAGATTCCTGTCTGGAAGAACAGCAGCAGAGAATCACGAAATCACGAGTTCAGTTAACTCTTGAAATCAGAAATAATGTGTATAATAATGTTTAGGCGTCTTTCTGACCACTTGGGATAATGGCAGGTAACTTAATAGATAAATTAAACTATCATTTGCCGTCACTGATTTTGGTCTTTTGGCTGGAAGGAACCAACGCTGTAAAACTCACCTGGTTCTCTGTCACTTTGTCTCTGATGATGAGATAACGCAGCAGGTTCAGAGACTCCATAACTCTGTTTAGAAAGACACAAAAAGACGTTGGAACGAATACCTTGACAAAACAATCTTGACTTACTTACTCGTAATACAATTGAAAGCTTTAGAAAAAGCTTGTAAATGCACCTTAACAATGGGGAAATAAGGCTATTTCTATTTTAGTTTTACTGTAATGTTTTAAGTGTGAGAGGAAACATATATAATATAACATAAATCATCCATTTAAGGGAAAACATGTTTAACTCCAAAATAAAAGGCAGGGTTTTAGTACTATTTCATTCTCTCCTCAGGTGAAACACTGCAGATACAGCGAATTACTTTGTAACACGCAGAGAACTTAAAACATTGAAAATGGACGTCCCCAGCAACGTCAACAGTGTTTACACAGCTTCCAAATGTTTTTTGGAAACTTTTTAAGTGTTTCCACACAGTTTTAGCAACTAAAGCTGGTATAAAAGCCCTCAGTCTGTACTGAGCAAAGCATGTAGAGCTTGTGAGACTATAAAATCGAGGAATGGGGTTTTCTGTGTCCTGACCTGTCCAGGTACTGCAGGAGGTCGGTCTCTGGGCCGTCTGGCAGAGTGAGAACCTTACGCAGCAAAGGCAGCAGGTGAACTCCCTCGAACCAGGTGTTACTGTTACCTGGCTGAGGACAGAAAGAGACAAACACAGACTTTGATTTTTAGAGTTTGAATTACAGCCCGCACTCTGCACAGACACTGTCATTTAGCTCTCACTTACTGTGTCAAAAACCTGTGAAAAATGGCAGAGCAAACAGCACACCATGAAATTTAAAATGCCATCTCACCCGCAGGGCAAAGTCGATCTGATTCTTGATGTTTTTGATGACGTAGCCTTCGACCCCTGAGTGATTACTTGTTTTCAGCATGTACCTGAAACAAGACAAAGTCAATATAGGAGAGGGCGGAACAGAAAGAGACATTTCTGACTACTTTCAAGAAGAAAAAGCTGGAGCTCACTGGAAAAAATTGTACTTGGCTTCAGTGTCAAACTTATCAACGCTCAGCTGGAACACCTTTAATCCTCTGGTTCTCTGTGGACAAAGAAGCAAATGTCTAAGTATATCTATTTTGAAAAATAAGTCCATGTAGACAATAAAAGATGCAAATTAAAGGCATGTAAATTTAATTTCAAAGCTAAAATAAAATTGACAAAAAGGTCCAGGTTGCTGAATTACCTATTAATGTGAAGACTTACCAAATCATGCCTTGAACATATCGTCATGACCTTCACTAAGTTCTGCAGACAAACGTTGAAATCAGTGACTGAGCCCGGCATAAATACACATCAGTAAAGCTTCACACTGTGAGACAGTGCACAGCAGAGTAAAATCTGAGGTTTGTATGAGGAACTGCGCTCACCTGAGGGACTTGGAGGAAGGTTTTGATCTCCAGCAGATCTGCAGGCAGACTGCCATCCTCCGCCCGCACCAGACTCTTCTCATACAGCTCCTGTGTGACGGTAAACACACATACGTCAAAGGAAAAGTGACATTCAACTACTTCTGAGGACCCGCAGTCAAAGCAAGGATCTAAACCAGGTTTATGAGCCACTGTGCTTCAAACAAGGAAGTTTTCATGAGGCGGACTATAAAAGCTATAAAATAAACCGGTTCATTTTACTAGTCAGTTCTTCATAACAGCTGGAAAATGTATGTTCTCTTTGGGGCCTTTATCACCTGAGAAAACCACAATACAAATACTGAAGTACTTCCAGTTTGACTCACCAGTCCTTTCTGGATCCTGGACTCCTCAGTTCTGTCAATAAAATGATTTAGAAATAATTAATGAGGGGTTCAGCGGCAATACACAACTCACCAAACAACAATATGCTTTCAGTGGACAACGTATCAGTGCTCTTTTCTTTCATTTAAAAGTCTTTATAAAATTGTATCCAACATAAATGACATGGTATATCAGATGCAATGTTTGTGAAACTGTGCCTTTATATTTGCTGTTTTCTTAAAGCCAACTGAGAGAGACTGGACATAATATGGTGTCTTGTATTTACCTGGACAAGAGGAGGCAAATGTGCTCCATATTACACCGAAGAGAGAACACAGGACTGTAAACAGAGGGAGAGTCAGCAGAATTAACAACTTATTTAAATCCTGAATATTATTTTAATCATCAGTTTTCCTCAGTGCTAATTTCTAGCCACATTTGAAGAAACTCATATAGCATATCAGAGTCTTGGAAATTTTCCCCCCATCTTACCTGAAAACACTGGGGAATGTGTCTGCGGCCAGGTGGTGGACAAACACCAGGTGAGCCAGGCAGGCCAAAGACTCTTTAGGATAACGCACCTCCTCCTCCAGAAAGCCTGGAACCTGTTTCCTCCTCAGCAGAGGCTGGAACACGAGACCGGGGAGGGGCTCTCCGATAGCACTGAGGGTGTTCTGTACAAAACACACACATGGAAACAGACTCAGGTTTTTAGATCCAGTCCGACATCAACTGATTGTGTAATGATGAAGTGAAAAGGTTGAAAACATTTGGTAAGAATAGTAAATGGTAGTTCAAACAACCACACTGACATATAACTGTGGAAACCAGTCAAATCTCTACATTTACATTAGTTACAGGACAGCGTTAACTATTTCCAGAATATTATGGTGAATTAATACCAAAATCTCGGTGGCAAAATTCCTGAGGGGAGACACAGCCAGAGTGTCCGGATCCTTGAGTTGTACCTCCAACAGAGGGTGACTCAGAGTCTTCATACAGCTGCAGAACAGAAGAACCAGATGAGTCGACCTTTTTATTTTACCAATACGTAATGTGACACAGCATGTAGATATTTTAAATGCAATTCTGACGTAAAAACCTTTTTAAATGTGTCACTCACAACTTCAGCAGCTCTGTCCGCAGCTCGTCCTCTTTAGCCCTGTCCTGGTCACCCGCCATCTTGTTTGCGTTATCATTTTGGGGCTGACTGTTCAGGTTGTGTTGCCTGGCCTCATGGACAAAGGGTCTGACAAAGTCTGTCAGATCGGTGCAGCAGCGACAAAACGAGAAGACGTCATCCTCCTCCTGCTCCTTGGTGTGAGGTACAGGCAGTTTGGCCACCTGGTCCAGCACAGAGGACAGGCTCATGCCCAACGACGACGCCTTGCGGCTGCCCAGGCACAGCAGAACTGAGAGGAAGACACAAACGACAGAGGAAGTGGAACAATGGAAATGGTTATGTTTGAGCTGACATGTGATTACAAGTTTAAATAAATGTTCTTTACCTTTCTGTAGAGGGTTCAACAGCAGATGGAGGCTCTCTGCTATGGTTTCAGGGTCATCCTGCTCCAGCTGCTCCAACAGGCCAATCAGCAGCTCTTTGGGTCTGCAGGTCTGGAAAAACAAATACGACCCTTAATAGAACAATTTCATCCGAACACTGCGAGATTTATCAGTGGATCATATTAAATATGAACTAATGTGTTATATCAAACCCTGTGATCAACACTGTGTGACATTAACTGTCGAGCCGATGAACAGACCTTTATCAGGTGGTTGAAAACGGCCAGGCAGTGAGAAAGGTTCTTGTCTTCTTTCTTCAGCAGAACCTGAATCAGGGGAGGCAGCAGGTTCCAACCCATAGATCTCACTATGTCCTACAGAGAGAGGGATAGAGGGGTTGACAGAGCGTTATGAACACGTCTACATGTTGAAAACAATGGTCAGCTTTGAGCAACGTACCTGATTCTTTTCATCCAGGACAATACTGAGGACCTGTGCGCTGTTTCCCTCCTCGATGCAGGTTCGCCCAGCGATCGTGAAGACGTCATAATCCTCGGTGGTGTAGCTGTCATTAGGGAGGGCTTGCTGTGTAGAAGAGAGACAAAGAAAGGGTTGATAAGAGGGGGAATATAAAAATGCATGTTTCCAGTTTCTCAATGTGAGAATTTGCTGCTTTTATTTCAGTGTAAATTTAATACATTTGAGGTTTTTGACTGCTGGTTGGACATAAACAAAATGACAGATCTGGAAAGCTGTGACCGGCAATTTTCTGACATTACATCCTGTATTTTTTGGGTCGGCTGAGGGCAGTGGTGTCAAAGCGCAGCTGAAACAGAGGGGCATAAATAAATAAATAAAGAGCTACCACTATACTGCTCACTGTATTAATTCAGATTACTTGTACCAAATAAATCAAAGGGAGAACCCAGACATGAGGGCGAAAGGTGGAAGCAATGGGTGCATGTAAAGGGGTTGAACCTCCTCCGGTCCCCTGAAGCACTCACACATCTCTGGACCACATCACTGAGCTGCTCCAGAGCCATCCCTGCTGTCTTCAGGTGGGTTGATCTTCACACAGGGGTCCTCCAAAACAAACAGGAGACTTCAGCTCACAACAATGCACAGCACACTACTCGATAATAAAGCGGTTCATAGTTGAACAGCTAAGTGGCTTCACTTGAGTTTATTATGGTTTATGAGTCGGGACACCCGCGTTATGTTAGAGAGAGTCAGATGAGCCTGTGGACAGTAGAAAGTGGACAGTCTGCTATAAACAGAGACTACAATGAATGCTAGCGTGTGTTTAAGAGTTAGCTTTTAGCTGTTAGACTTAAAGACAATAATGTTCTTGTTCCGTCAAAACAGCTATGAACACCAGTAATACATAACAACCATACACAGGACAACACAAAGGTAGGCACCCACCTCAGCTAACTACATGTCCCAAAACAACCCGGTAGAAAGCACCACGCGACCGGCGGCTGTGCTAACGGCGGGATTTTTGTCCGTATGGGCTCGCCGTAGAAAGAAATACGTCATCGGTCAAAGTTGAAAAGAGAAACATCATGGAGACACAGGAGAGACGAAGGACCGCTAAAACACCTAAAACAGGTTCGTTTCCATGAATGAATTTGCTCTTTAACATCAAAATGATATGTGTACTTCCTAACAGATGTCAGAGAAGAGTTTAAAGAGGTGCTACACCAGTGTGTGTCTGCTCACACTGTTAACACTGAACCATGTTGTTGTCTGTGTGTCAGGTGGCAAACGAGTCAAAGCACTGACTGCTGAAGAAGAAGAAGCAAGAAGGTGAGAGAGGACATCTTTTTACTGGATGCTACAGTTGTTTCAATACTCATGTCTGTCTAACACTAATACTTATCAAAGGTTGCAGTTTGGTTGTTGAATATTTCTCACTTCAGTCCATTTTCTCGAGATAATGAAGTAGTAATACATGTCAACAAGTAGCAACACTTCTTCAAACGTGTGTGCTGCTGTGTCCTGTGTCAGGAGAGAGGTTGTGAAGGAGAAGTTGAGGGAGAAGTTGGATCTGGAGACAAGAGCTGCGAAGGTGGTGGAGCGTCTGCTGGAGGACTGCGTGGCTGAAGACTTCCTGGTTGACTGTGTATGTATCATCTGAGATCGCCTCTGCAGCAGAGCAACATCAGCCTCCGCTCACAGCGCACGCCTAAATTGTCTAACATAAGCGAGACATCTTCTAGACATGGCACAAGGTTTGGGATTGTCCATGGATTGCAGTCAGACTACAGGCTGGTCCTGGTCCTGGTCCTGGTCCTGTGTTTGTACCACCGCGTTGCCCCTCTAACACAAATTCTGTCTTTTCATTCACAATACAAATCCATCCTGAATTAGCCGTTTCCAATGTTGATCTACATTTTAAATGCTCATAACAGTGATAAGTTCCGACAGGTGATGCTTCAACAACATTTTATATTTAAATTCCACCTTCTCTCACCTCCTTTTTTTTGAGACACTGTAAAGTGGACTATTTCTAATCAGCAACCCATCAAATACTGATAATTTACTCAGTGACAGGCAGAGAAATATTTGTTTAGTTAGGATGGAATCGTCACATTTGCTGTTTTTACTGTTTAGGTTCAGATTTGAGTTGAGTAGTTGCTGTGGTGGACAACATGTTTTCTGTCTCTTCTCTTCACAGGCAAGGTTCATAAATCTTGCTAATTACAAAGATGCCATAGAGGAGCGATTCATTGCTAAAATGTGTGGTTATCCCATATGTCCAAATAAACTGGACAAGGTAAGACCCTTTATATCTGTCTTTACAATCCTATGCACATGATAAATGTCCTTGAGTCTCATATTTTATGCTTCTAACCTGTTTTTCTCAAGACTGAATGCTACTGTTCATTTTTATAGATCCCGACTCAACGGTATAAGATTTCTACTAAGACCAATAAGGTTTATGACATCACTGAGCGTAAGGTAAGTGCTGCTCTGTGTGGATTAAAAAGATAAATGTTTTAAACATTAGCACATTTATTCTTGAAGAAACAGCCTGAAAACCGATTATTTCTGTGTCCCTCTTACTTGTGATTAGTGTTTTTGTAGTAACTTCTGCTACAAAGCCTCCAAAGAGTTTGAGCTACAAATATCGAATACACCTCTTTGGCTCAGGCAGTATGAGAGGTATGTGTACTGTTCAGTCTGTTCTGAGTCACAACTATGAACTGATTATTGAATATGATAATTTTCTACATATTAAGACTGTGTTTTTCTTTTGTCAGCCCCCCAGAAATTAAATTGATGAAGAGAGGAGATGGGTATGTACTAGCTTAAGCGTTTATATTCCATTCAATATTTCTAAATGTTTGATGTTCTAAGTATAATATAGGTTTTATGGTGAATAGACTAATTCAGTGTAACCATGTGCATCCAGTGGAAGGTTTGGTGAGGAGGTGATGCTGTCTGAGAGGCGTCTCTTGGAAAAGGACATCGAGGACCCGCTGGCTGCTCAATGCGAGGACCCTAAAAGCTCTCTGCAGCGCTCTGCCGCAGCCGACCTCAGCCACAGTGACAGCAGCGACGTCGAACAGGAGCAGGACTTCGTCTCCAGCGTGGTCACCCAGCGACAGGGACCCAGGGTGCACTGGGGCGACCTTCCTAAACGTACAGATGAAGACAAGAGCGGCGAGCGAGGGAAGACAGCGAGGAGAAAGAAACAGAAGAGAGAGGGAGATGATGATGAGGAGGTTGGATGTCGGGACGAAGTGAAGGAGGGAGAAATGGGAGAAGATGAGAATAGACAGGATTCACCTTTATATAAAACAGAAGTCAGAACTGACAGTGAAAACCCCAAACAGCTGCACTCATTAAACTCTAAACCTAATGGGAGGCCAGAGGAGAAAGGCTTACCTGAGGAACCCAGTGTGGAAGAGGCTACAGCTAAACTGAATTTGTGCAGTTTATCTGCGACAGTCTCTCACACTGCTCCCCTACAAGCAGATCTACTCACCTCTGCACCTTGTAAAGACTCAAACTCCTCAACAGAAGGCAAACAGCTCCCTCCTTCAACTCCGACCAGCCACAACACAGCAGCGACCAGCCAGCCAGACCTCAACATCACCCAGGTGGGTATGAGCAAGAGAGGCGCAGCGGGGCTACGAGATCTACTGAAGAACCACACTGCTGGAGCCAAACCCGAATCCATCCGGCTGAACCTCCTCGAGTGCCTGAGGAGAACGTTAAAGGACTGGAGCACTGACGAGACCCTGAAGTTCCTGTACGGCGCTGGCCATTCACAAGTCTCTCCTTTCGCTGATGTTAAAGAAGAAAAAGAGGAGGAAGAGGAAGAGCTGGATGAAGACGACCTTGATGATGAGGTGACCGATGGCGAGGATGTAGGAGGGGTTAACGCTGGGGTGCAGAAGAGAGCGTCTGCTGCAGCTCCAGACTACGAAACGCTGCGGAAGGAGGGCCAGCAGCTGGAGCTAAGAGTCAAGGAGTTTTATAAGGGGACCTGGATTCTGCCTGCGGAGCTGAATGGAGACGAGGTGAGTGGAGGAGGGATTGGAGGACCAAGAGAAAAGAGAGGACTTGTTTTAAGAGTCAATGGCCATTATATTGAAATTATGATGTCCTGAGGTTTGCTCTCCAACATCTGGTTTGTTTCCCCACCAGGTGACGGTCCAGGACCAGAGCACAAAGGACCCAGTTCTGCCGCTTGTGGACTCTCACGCTCAGCACCTCATCCAGAAACGAATCACAGTGGAGAAGCTCACCGGCTGGTATGTGTGTGTCTCTAAATATCTTAGCATATGTTTAATGTGTTTCATTTTGTGGACACCTACCTACATGTATATCCAAAAACCTTTTATCACTTCATTTATGTGCTTTTTCAACTGTGAACATACCTCATATTTGTATCTTTGATACTAGATTCAAACTGGCCACAGTTTATTAGATATTATGTGCTTCTTAACACGTGTGGGCAAAGTGTTAATGAAGCTGCTCCTGGAAGTGTCATTCTTTTCCTTTGATGCTCCCAGTTACAGGATTATGTTTTGGTTTTATAAACGCTACACAGACAAACTTAAATTCACTTGCTCAGTATTTATTTAATATTGTATTATATTTATAGCTACCCTATTATTATAAATGTATTGACAGTTAAAATGACACCTTTCTGTTGTCTCTTTGTCCCTCATATTTTTTCTCTGTGTGCAGTCTCAGAAACATTGTTGGTCCTCTGCGTCTCGCTATGAGTGACGTCTCCACTGACCTGAACAACCTGGTCAGAACATTCAGGTCAGTGCAGCACACACACAGATACACACTCGTCTCTGCAGGCCCGCTTGCATAAAGATGCACAGTTACACACACATACACACAGTTTCTTTGTTTGGTCTGATCATTTTAGCATGCTGACATGGTCTAAAACGTGTCACTAAACTGTGCTTTTTTTACTGTATTTTTTACCTGCCTTTTTTAATGTCTCGGGAAGGCAAAAAGCACTGTTGGTGGGGCATTGTGGTTTACGCATCAATGCATTTAAAGGCACAGTACTAGAGTCAGTGACTACACCTGATTTCTGCATGTAACAGAATGAGAGTATCCTGCTTTACTGCCGCTGCATGTCTGCAGTGTGTAGAGACATACACAGCAACGTTATAATTACAGGTTGGTAAGGTAAACCCCAGTATTGTGTGTGCTTTCTTGGGATCTATGGAGCTATCTGTGGATGCTGTAATGTTCTTATCATGTATGTAGGCTTTATTCTTTATTCTACTTAACCTCATGCTTCAGTGAGAGGTACATATTTCATCAGAGTACTGTTGTTTTTTTTTCTAGGTTGGTTAAAGAGAAAACCAACACATCTGTTGTCCTGTGTGATCTGTAAACCCTCTGCTAGCAATAACAACTAAAACATACAACTAATCTTCTTGAGAACACTGCAATATTCAAAATGAAAGTAGAGTGTTAAACTTGTAATTAGCAAATGGATTTTATTTAAATTCCATGACACTGTGGAAAGATTTGATGAAGAACTTTGGTGCCCCCTAAAGGTCGGCATGTAACATGACAACATTAGTTTTACTGACTGTGTGTGACCCTTTTCACAGCAGACATTTTGAGATGTCATAGCAGGAAAAACACAATTAAAGTTAATAACATTAGTTATGGATACCAGTATATTCTGTTTACTGTATACCTTGATATTGTAACAGAGCCAACATTAACGTGATTAATGACACTTTTTCGTGATTTTGACATGTCAAAATGTCTTCTG